TCTAGCCTCAATCTTCTGTTTCTTCAATTTTGTTTAGCATTTATTCGGTTTGCCATTTTCTTCTGTTCGTTTTTATTTTTGTTATATAAGTCGCGTGCTATATAATGTTTCTAACACATACCAAAGCTACTCCTTGACCGCAGCATCATCCAAACAAACCAATCAAGAAGATGACATGATTGCCTGGTATACATGCTTATGGCCTAGGTATCACGTTCATCTTGAAACACTGTATCTTGACATAATGAGGACGACAAGCTCAAATAAATTAGCATATATGAAGGCATGAAGAGTGAATAAAGGGGGGGCCCGAACTGAAAAATTGTCTCTGTCTGAGTTAATCCAAGTCATAAAGTAACTAATCTATTACGATCTAGTCTATATTTCATACAGACACAAGTTTGGGCCCATGTTATGAAAAATTGAATATACTTATAATAGTGTGAAGTTCAAGTATAATAGGGCAAAATAAATATCAACGTAGAGATTACAAATAAATATTATTTTAAGTCAAAAGTGAAAAACAAAAGAAAAAAATGTTTGCCCAAAAGACAAAGTTATCAATTTGGAATTCTTAAAGACTTGATAGAAGTTCTTGGGTGTGGTATCCCCTTTCTCTTTTGCTTTTGGTCCATGTAGACCTATTCAGTTATTAAACAAAATTAACCAACAAATTAGCAGCCATAAAGTTGGTCAAGGCATAAACTCTTATAAACATTGAAATCCTGTTTGATTGATTGACAGTTAGGAACATCGTCGGTCCTTACGATAACATTTATAGAATACCAAAATCTTCGTCATCCTTTTCTTGTTACTAGTGAGTTTCCTACACTTTTGGCACTTGTAATGGCCAACAGAATGATATGTCCAGCCGCAATTATTGAAACTCTCTTACTTAATAAGGAAGGCTTCTCTATGCAAGAAGAAAACTTGAATTGAAACTCTCTTACTTAACGAGGAAGGCTTCTCCATTAGGCCGCAATATTTTCTTATAAATAGGGGATGCATTTGCAGAGAATTAACCAATGGTGAAGATAGAAAAAGAGAGATTAGAGAGAGATTTATGAGGTTTTGTTGAGAGTTTGTAAAACTTTATTGTAAATTCTATTCACGATATAAATAGAATTGTTTTTCTTCTTTTATCTTCTCTTTTTGTGATCAGAGAATCACAACACAGAATGCATACAAGAATTATTCGATGTCACTCGCTGTTTTCTGATTTTTCATCTAAGGCTACCATATACTTCTATATTAAGTTACTCCTAGCATACGAGTCACTGAATGAAGCGACTTAGAAGGATCACCATAACGCTAATATCATCAGAAGATCCTCTCGACTGTGACAAATCCACGAGCTTTTTGCAAGCAGAAAATGGTTCTGGCTTGTCAATGCCCAAGCATAAAGGATGAACTACATCTACTGCTTCCTGATTGCTAACCTGCAAGGAAGTAAAATGCATTTTTAGCGTACTATCTTCAACAATATGGATGACTATGATGAGCTCAACGCAATTTCGTATATTACCTTATCCCAAAGTCCGTCTGAGGCGAGGATCAAAAACTCGCACTCTTCTGTAATCCTGAGTACTTCAGTGGTCGGCTCAGCTATTACCCATTCTTTAAGATGGCCATCTCCAATTGCTCTTGAAACGGCAAGAGATCCATGTACTCTCCAAACACCATGGCAACAATCAACATAACCGCCCTGAAATAGAAAAATGTAAAATCAATAAAAAACAAGAAATAATTTCGATTTTGATTTCAATTGCGCTCAAGCAATTGCTTTTGAAAAACAATAAACACCAGAATTCTCACCAGATTCTCTATCCTATTTCTTTCATCTTTTTGCGAAGGTCTGTGATCAACGGTGAGGGCCTTTGCAACCCCTTGTCGGCTCATAACAGCACGACAATCTCCTGCATTGGAGACAACGAGATTGCCTTCATGTACCAATGCTGTCACGCAGCATGTCCCACCTCGGATATTTTCCTTCAAAAACTCTACATCCGTGGAGAGGTACCCCTCTTTCACCGCCTCTTCAATCCCTCCTTCTTGGGTTCTCGTTGCCACTTTGTTCATAATGTTCCTGTCTAAATTCTTAGCCACAAATTCTGCAGCTCCTGCTCCCCCATGTCCATCATATACACCAAAGAAAGCCTTCATTCATAACAGACACTTTAGTCATTTTGCATTACGAAATTGGAGATTTTAATATGAAATAGTAATAAGAACACACCTGTTTAGAATCCCTTTGAAGATCCAGAATAACAGAATATCGATCCTCCGTAACTCCACCTCTTTTCCCTCTCTTACAGTAAACCGAATACCCTTCCTCTTCCACCTCCATCTCACTCAATATATCAACATCCTTATCCTCGTTCGTCTTAATATTATCCAAACTCATATTCAACACCGGAATATCAATCCTCGCCGGCCGTTTCCGCTTCAAAACCATCACCTTCGATAACCCATCTTCTCCTACATCTTCATCTTTATTGTTCAATGGTTTTTTGATAGCTAAAGGCAACGGCGAAAGAGACAGCGGAGGAGGTGAGGTGGCGGGCTTGCAGAAAATCGGCGATAATCTATTCGAGGATGGAGTAAACATCTGAGAGCTTGATGCTGCCGCTACAGCAAAAGACATAATTTGATTATGTTTTCACTCTTTTCGTTCTATTATTTGTCAACTGCTAATTCCTCTCTTTGTTAAATCAAAACCAATTTTTGATGGAGAAGAAGGGCTTGCACTTGGGGTTTATATAGGCGTGAAGATGGAAAGTGTGGGATGTGGTGGGGGACATTATGATGATCTTTCCAAAAAACACGCCGCACAGAAAGATTACGCGCATACGAAATTGAGAAATTACAGTACTTTTTGTTTTGCTTTTGTAATTCCCTCAAAACCAATTTTAGTCAATATTAATAATGATCCGATACGTATGTATTCAACTTTAAAGTAGAAATACAAAGATAAAATTGAAAATCTCAGAAAAAAAATGAAGTACGTGTTGTATTCTTTGATCTTATTGCAAAAGTCAATAATTTGTACATTTTATAATTGTATCACAACACGATTTCATCAATTATAATTGAGTTAAAAATTCAAATTGTTATTGGACTTTGCATAATATTTTTCGGGGAACAATACATTTATAAGGTATNTTGTACATCTAGATAAATCCTAATCTTTATAAGTTTTTTGGATGATAACCAAGTCGTTATCCCATTAGCCATTAAACTATAAGTATTTCAGATGGCCACTAAACTTGTAAAATCATTATTTCATAACAATTAAACTTAAATGCTTTTAAAATAATCACTTAACTTATCAATTCATTATCTCATTCATCACACAATAACTTCCGTTAAAAAATTCGACGAACTCATTAGACGTGACAAACAGAAGCATTGATATAAAACATTGTTGTCGTTAGTTTACGACATATCATAAAGAATGCCCTTCCATCTATTAAAAGCTCTCACAAAAAAATGAAGTTGAATTTTAACATTTGCATGTTTCATTGTTTATCTGCATTATATATTCTTTATTGCTTTTCTGCATCAATTAATGACAATAATGTGTCATGTCAGGATTTTTTTGGTCATGCCACAGGTCTGTTAGAATTTTTTAACAATAAGTTATTGAGTTACGGATAAGATAATGATATGATAAATTTGACAGTATTGGAAACATTTTTAAAGTTTAATGGTCAATAAGATAACGATTTGATACGTTCAGTGACTATTCAAAAAACTTTCGAAGTCAAATGGAAAAATATTGTGCAAAGTTGAACGGTATGAACTTACCCAGTGAGGTCGTTGAGACTTGTGTTGCTTCCTTCATTTGTAATTAATTCAGTTACGGAAAAGCATTGCTTCTGTTGTTTTTGTTGATATCGTGCAATAACGAGTTGATCGTCGAGCCCAAAGGGTAAATAACAACCAAGCAATTAGTTAACCTCGGACCATATGATAAACTTAATCAAACAATTGCAGTAAATTGCCGGTTTGAGAAATACACAATCGAACAATTATGATAAATTACCAGTGAATCGGATATAATGAATTAATCAAGCAATTATGATAAATTTTTGTCGAATCGAGGAGTATAGATAATAATTAGTAACTGTGATAAATTCTGAGCCCAAGAGTGCACTTTGAATAAGAACCTATTATAAATCATTGTTGATCCGAGATCTGATTATTGATAATATTTTTGCAAGCGCTCGACATACCAAGGATGAAATTGTTCGAACCCATCATATCCTCAATTTTGTAAGTATTGAGTAGGATCTAGAAGGTAATTCGGGATGGTTACTCCTAGCATGGAAAGAGGCAGAGGCTGACCTACACAGGAGTCTACAGGGGCACGTGCCCCTATAGATTTTGG